AACTTTTGTGTAATTATATAATTGAATTTTTTTTATAAATTCATATGATATTGTATTTATTTAATATTATATTATAATTATAAATTTATAATTTTAGATATAACATAACTTTAAAAATTAAATTTATTGATATATAAGTGTTATTTTAATTGAACTCATAATTCAAGTTTCAAGGATTCATGGTTAATATAAGTGTATCCTTAATATAACCTAAAAAAGAATTAATTTCTAGAGGTACTTAAAATTTAAAAATTATTTTAAAAACACCTTAATAATAAATTTTAAAAAAATAATAATAATAACTATAACATGGCGGGCAGGTTGACTACCTGAATATGGCGGGCTACAATGCCCGTTTTCTCTGAATTGGGCCCATGCAGCCCGAGTTACCAACATTTGGGCCTAGATAAAGCTTGCCTGATGGCCCTGCTTTTTATTTTGAGCCCGAAAAGTTTTTAAATTTACCATTCAAGCAAAACCTCCGTCACTTAACCAGAGGGCAGATGATTCACCGTAGCAGCGACGCCATGTTAGCAGCAGAGAGCACAGAGCTTCCTGGACCTTCTTCTTCTTCTAAACCTCTCTTGCTTCGTCTTCAAGAAACCTTAACTTCCTGCTCCAGAGTAAGCTTTTCCGCTTCTTGCTTTACGATCTCCCAAATCCTCTTTGTTTCCCGAGAAAATTCAACAAGTTGATTTTATGAATCCATAAAATAATCAGTATCTGTATGATTTTCGTAGTCAATCGAAAGTGGAGACGATGACCAATCGAAAGTGACTGTTTCTAATCTCGTCAACTTCCTCGATTCTGTCTCTGACGCTGCCGTTTCCAAGCCAGAAAATGAAGATGCAAAGAATAATGCACTTGAAGTTCTCTCAGAGACTTACAGATTCTTGTGTTCTCCTTCCCTGGATCAGGTTTTTTTACCTCTTCTGTGTTCTTTAGTGATTATTCATGTTAGTAGGTGTGCTTACCTATGAGTTAATGGAATCTTTTCCTCTTATGGTGGAGGCAGTCGGTTATTGATGCGCTTTCATTTGAGTTGCCAAAGCCAGTTTCGAAGTTTTCAGTGGTGTCAAGTGAATGTTCGGAGTTTGCTCGTAGCATTATTAATCAATTTATTGAGACATGTAGTCCTCGGGACATGCTTTCAATTCTCTGTGAGGTTGGTAGATTAAATGAATGTGATTGATTCTTTTTCTGTAAGTGAATGTGATCATTAGCCTTTTCAATTCGAGTTCCTAGTTCATAGCTGATTCTTTGATTTATATGGATCAGGCATTAGCTTCTTTGAATGAGACTTTCAAATCTACTGCCTGTGTTTCTCCTCTTCTAAGTGGGCTTTCAAAAGGTAATTATCTGCAAGATGAGACACTGATTTTCTTCACCAATTCATGAACTGAATGATCGAATTAATGTGGTTGAAATTATTTGAATTGTCATGCGTGTCAGGAATTAACTAATTTGGTTTATAGTATACTCTTGAAAATGTATATAATTTCTTACAAATTTTTTATTTTCTTTGAGCATGTTGCTTAACAGTTTAGTGAAAAAGAAATATCACAAATTTTAGGATAGGATGCAAAAGCTTCTTTTTTGTGTGGCAGAATAGCAAGAAAGTTGTTGACTATGCTCTTTTGGTTTCAGTTATTCTTTCCATCAAGAGGCGTCACTTTGAGCAAGTAAAAGTTACAATACCTGTTATTATCATGGCTTTGAAGACCATGTCGTTGGAGTCAGATGGTGATATAACAGAGCTGGAGAATTTGTTTGAGACAGCCATAGGCATAGCAGATTCTATACATTCAGTTTCTGTAAAACTGGTCTGTGCTACTTTACAACATATTAGGTTAATTTAATTTTATGATTCTCAATATTTTCTTTCTGGCTTACAAAGTCTTTTGCTCTTCCTTATGACAGGAGGGTATAGCAAGTGAAAAGCTTCGTTCTCTACTTGGTCTATATATTCTGGGTCTATATATTCTGCAAGCCAAGGTTGGTGCTCCTCTATTGAAGTTCCCATTCAAATGTTAATTTTTTGGGTCTCTGCCTATGTTGTAGCTATTTAAGCTGTATTAGTGACTATTAATTGTTTTTACAACTGCATGTCTTAAGATATTGGTTAACTGTATCTTATCCCCTTTTATTTGTTTATCTGATTGTATGGTCTTTTTATTTTATTTTGTACAATGTGTCTCTCTCTGTGTTGCTCTCAAGTTATACCCTTGATTTGCAGGCTCTTGTTTCAGTTAGCACAACATATAAGTTATCTAGCTGGCTTCCCATGACATCAAAGTTGGCAAGTTTTCTTCCATATTGCGGTTTGTCATATCTTGGTTTAATAACTGGGTCTGATGTTGATCAGATGACCAAGATTGTTCTGGAAGGTAAGGTTTTATTTGGTTGTTGTTTTCATCTCTTAAGCCACTTGTTTATAAAAGATTGCAAAATCGAGGAAGTCCTATTTCTGTTTTTCCTCTATGTCCTTCTGACGTTCTAAGCCTTGTACATTTCCATCTTTTATCATGAAACGTGCAGAGGATGAAGATGATTATTTTAGTTATTTATCAAATGTCAACCTTGGTGCATCTCTTTCAGGTTTGTGCTTGCTGAGGCAGAATTTTTTTTTTTTTTTTCATTTAATTTATATTTTCCACCTACTCCTTTTTCTAGGTTTTTTTTTTTTTTGGGGGTGGGGGGGGTGTGGAGTGTACATTAAAACATTTGTTGTGCCATTGATGCAGTGATTTGGGGCCAAATTTCTGATGAGGTTTCTCAGGCTGCTAAGGAGGATTTAAATGTTGTCAAAGATGAACTTCAAAATAACCAGACAAAAAGATGGCAGGCAATTGGCATGTTAAAGCACATATTCTCATCATGTGATCTTCCATGGGAATTAAAGAGGCATTCCATTGACTTCTTGCTTTGCATAACAAATGGAAATAACTCTAGAAAGTTAGATGATGGAGACTCCGATTGCTCTTGTTACGTGACCAGTCTCTTTTCTGCTTTGCAGGTATCCTCTTTCCATATTTTTTTTAATGTATTTTTTACTACTCTCTCTCTCTCTCACACACACATAGTCTAAATGTATTTCAGGCTTTGACGGTGGTTATTGTATATGCCTCAGATTCAGTGCTAAGAAGAAATGCCTTTGACGCAATTAAAAGGGTGAAAACTTTGTTTCTTACTGTTTCCCCATTGGTGCTTTGCAAAACTTTAAGCCAAACTTTCTTGCATTCTTCATAGTTTTTTTAAACAAATACTACTGCCATATTGGTGATCTCATTGATTCACTTCATCATACCAGGTCCTGGCTGATATTCCAACTTCTCAGAGGTTTGACATTTTAAAAGCTCTGATTACAAATTGTGACTCTTCATCTATGGTAAATCCCATTTTACATAATCTATAATGGTATAACCTTTTCTAATTACAATTGAACTTAAATTACCTGAACTTCTTATTCTACCTTTGTATAGATTGCAATTCTTCTGGATCTTGTCAGAGAGGAAATGCGCTTTGAAAGGTCCCGGAGAACATCAATTGAAACTGATGAAGTCTCAAAGGATAACAATAAAGTAAGTCAAACTACATTATTTTGGAGTGCCAGTGTCCTGGAATTGGTGGAGTTTGTTTTGAGGCCTCCAAAAGGAGGACCTCCAGTCCTTCAAGACAGTGGTGATGGGGTATTTCTCTTGATCTTTTTTCCTAGTTGATCTTGAAATTTATTGCAGTTTCTTGCTTGATGTGCTTGAATGATTCATTGGCAGGTGAAATCATACTTTATTTCATATTTGTCTCAATGCAGTTGAAGATTAAGTTTCTTTTGCTGTATGTGGTCTTTTTCCTTCTTTCTAGCATTAAGAGACACCATGCCCCCATATAGAACCAAAAAATTCCGTGGCTTTGCCCATTTATTGGGATATACATGAATGCATGAAATAAACTTGATGTGTGCTGTTCAAAAAAAAAAAAAAAAACTTGATATGTTCTTTTTATCCTAAAAAATTGTCTGTTACTACAGGTTCTGTCCGCCCTAAACCTGTACAGATTTGTTTTGATAACAGAGTCGGCAGGTAAAGCTTGCTAAATTTGTTAAAGCTAAGACCTTAATGTTTTACTTCCTCTTGCTTATTGTAGTATGTTTTCCTTTATTCCAACGTATTAACACTCAACATCGGAGCTCACAAAATAATTTAAACTGAGCTCTATCTTTTACTTCTTGATATCGCATCGATTTTTGACTGAAGTGGCATATGGAATGATGTAACAGAAAAAACAAACTACACAGGAGTGCTGTTCAAAGACAAATTACAAAAGGTCTACAATGAGTGGCTTTTACCTCTTCGAACCCTTGTCACGGCCATTGCCACAGGGAACGAGAGTGATCATGATGGACTTGCTATTGATACTGTATGTGCCTTAAACCCAGTAGAGTTGGTTTTGTACCGCTGTATTGAACTTGTTGAGGAAAAATTGAAACATTCAACATAGGACGTCATCTCTTGTAATGTTCCATATTGATCATACATTTGTAACTGAAATTCTGCAAGGAATAGACGGAACTTAATAGTTGTTGGCATGACTTGCATTCAGGTTTTGTTGTTGTTTTCCACGCATGCATTTCACTGTGTTCGTTGCCTTTTCATGTCTTCCTTTAGTTGTAGAAAATGATTGCTTCGGTCCGATCACATATGGTTGTATGATAGTCTTGCTTGACTCCGGCATCTGCGTGCTCATGATTCGCGCTTTACTTTTTTCTTGCGCCAATGCATGAAGAACTCAAGAAAAAAAAATTTTTTTGGCCCTCCCACAAACACATGATTTGAATATAAAAAATTCAGTATTTCAAATGGAATCGATTATTTCGGTGCACGGGCGAACTGGCAATTGATCACACACGACCACGTGTTCTATAAGAGGCCTCAAAAGATTCAGATATTTGTTAAAAAAATATTTAAAAAAAAAATTAATATAGTAACTTTCAAACTTGTAATTCAAAGCACATTTAGATGAATGGTGTATTTATTGTATTTTTATTAATTATTATAAAAAAATAAAAGTTAATTTTAATTTTATGAAGTTTTTAATTAAATTTATCTAATTAATATTGATGTTGAAATCAATTTCAATTTTTATATTTTTTTAACAAATTATTACTTTTTTCATTTCAGAATAATAGTCATTCTTTAAATTTAAATTTATTTGTAGTTGTTTTTTCATATTTTAAGAAAAACCAAAAAAAAAATTCTTATTTTAATTTTATGAATATCTCTTAACTTTAATTATACATTTTATATGAAAAGTCTTTTTATTTTAATTTCTTTTCTAAGGATAAAACATAAAAATAAATATTATTTTAAAATTTTTAATTTGAAAATAAAATAAAATAATAATTTTTTAACTTATACTTTTAAAGTATAATAACTATATTTTCTATCATAACTTTATATTAAAAAAATTAAAATTAACTTTTAATTTAACCACAGTTTAATTAATTTTATTTATTTATTACCAATATTAAAAATGTCACCTTTTATATTTATCTATATTTATAATAAAAAAGCTTAAAATTTTTATCATAAAAATATTTATATTATTCTATAATATAAAAAAAATATGATAAATATATTTTTGACATGGAACAATTATGGATAAGGTATACAAACCACAGAAGTACCTGAAATTCTTTATATCTGGATATGCATTAAGGCCCGTGTGAGCCCTACAACACCACGTTCTGAAATCTTTGTCCTGCTCTGATTTCTTGGTGTTACCCATTTTTTTTATTATGGCTAGAGCCAAAAACCAATGGCCTCTAGTCCCAATGCAGCAAATTTTAGTCTATGAGACTTCTCCTGGGTATGGAAAACAGGTGGTATCTTCGATTTTCTAACGAATCTCCTTTTGTCATGGTGACACGCATAAGATATACAAATGGGATCTCTTTCACTGGCAGTTCAAATTCAATCCATCAACTCCTGACAAAGCATTAAATATGAATTCCTAACAATGATAATAAGATTTACCTGCCACAAAGAAACATATTTCCTTCGTTTTGTATAAATTTTAATAGTTATGGTTTGATTTTTTAATTTTTTTAAATATAATTTTTAAATGAAAGTTTAATTATATAAATGATAATTAAAAATATTTTTGATCAAGTAAAAAAAATACTCAATAAAAATTTTATATAAGAAAAAATAAACTTTTTAATTGTTATTTTTATAAATTATTAAATTTATATTTAAAAAATTAAAAAAATTAGATTAAGATTATTAGAATTAGAATTATATGACTATTGACTAAAACCATCATATCTGACTAAGAGAGTGATCAACTCCAATAGAAACGACTTAACCACTAAGAGTTTAAAATTTTAAATTAAAATTTTTAATTTTTAATTTTAATTTGATCCGTAAGTCAAATAAGAGGACTTTAGGAATAGGAGAATTACTTTTTCTTGTTTAACTCATTAAAAAAAAAAAAAACTAAACTAGAAGAATGATCAGATGAAATAATGTTCAGATTCAAGAATGCATTGACTGTAAAAACCATCCAAAAAACCAATTTTATAAACTGCCATTAAATTAAAAGGCACAAATTCAGGAGGAAAATGACATTGAATCTTCAATAAGAACAAAGATTATAAATTAATTAAATATCCAGAAAACAATCCAGAAATTCCTTCTGAAAATTCCTAACCAAGTTAGTAGTAGGAGAAAAGGGACATGACCATATGGGTAATTGGAAAAGAATTGTCAAAACAAAATGGTGAAATTGTTTTCCAACTTTCAAGAAGCCACATCCCAGTTCAGCTGATTACCTAGAAAGAATCAGAATCATTTTGTACATGAGTTCCAGGAAGTAATGAGGGTTTACCCAAACGAATTTTGGAGTGATCTAGGATTTTTATACTGGTATCGAAGCTGCCTTCCTCATCTTCACTAGCTGTTAACTTCATCTGCACTTCTAGAATTCGCAGTTGTGGCAAGTTAAATCTTCAAATCTGTTATTTGGCCCAGCAAGCTTAAAACATATAGTCTACATATATCAGGTGAACTGCTCCTTAGAAATGGTCATGTTGCACCAGAAAGTATTAAGGCACTTCGGCTGTGACAACACAACCAAACATCATGGGTCCAAGTCAACTTGTCCCATAGAAAGTCTCCGGACCAGAATCATCCTCAGAAGGCATCATGTTTAGATCAGGCAATGGAAAAGAATTTCCCTCATTAGAAACAGCCTTGCAAGAACCCAAAAGTGACTTATCATCATCAAGTCCTTGTGAAGAGGCAATTCTCTGTTGGGATTGGCTAGAAGTTGCTTCATCGCGTTCATTAGCAGATAAACTCCCGTTATTTGCAGTGTTCAAGTTCAAATCAAGCTGCAATACAAGTAAAATTTAGTTCAAAAGAGCTAACAAGAGCTACTTGTCAAATAAGACCAAAATAAACTATAATTTCAAAGACTAAAACTTTTAAAAGGTAAAAGAACGCAGTTTACCTTCATCCTCTTCAAATTCTCATTTTTGGCTGTCTGTTCTTTAAAGGTAGCACGCATTGATGCTATCTCCTGTTCAAAATAAATAGAAGATTAATAAAACATGATACTACAAAATGAAAAAAAAAAGATGTTAGCAAGGGAAACACAGAGAGGCCAAATCAGGTAGCCATGAACCCCACCTTTTTCAAATGAAATCTTTCCTTCAAAAGCAAATACTCCTCCTCTTTAAGTTCAGCAAAAGTCTGAAAAAGAGAGCGAACAAACATTTAAGGATCAAAACAAATCTGAAATCCCTTGAAGATTAGTAATAAACTAAAACCAATCTCAAACCACTAAATAATCACCATCCCATTTTCTTAGATCCACGGAAAAAATGACCCATGAAGAACACTAGAACTCACCTTTTTTCTTCTTGATCTCTTGGAAGTTGTGCTAGTGGTTTCACTTGCAGCAGCACCCTGCAAAAATCATCACCCCAACATGCTTTTAATCAATATATAGACCAATACCCATACAAACAACCGCTCAAGAACATAAAACAAAATAAACAAGTTTGAAGCTTTAAACAATGCCACCCAATAAATTACAAAGTAAAACTTGTACTGCCTCAAGTCCTCAAGAACCAAATCCATCCCCAGATACACACAATATTAAAAAAAAATGTCACAGACCACCCACAACTCATATCTACACCACACACCTTCCGTCGTCAACGCTCCGACATAATTGCCGGAGTTAAGACGACAGCTGGGCGAGATCAGGGTGGCGAAGAGACCCAAATGGAATATTGTGAAAGCAGCACCACGCGCCCACTGGTGCACCAATAGGCGCACGCCACATCATAACGGCAGCGTGGGAGCACAAGACACATACCTACCCGTTTTTTGGTCACGTGACTATCTCTCTCACGTGACACGACCCTCTCTGACATGGACGGCAGAAATTGGGTCACCACCTGTAACTGTACGCCTTTGGCACACCTAATAAAAATCTTGCTTTCGGTCTTCTCACCTCTCGGTTTCTCAGCAGTTTAATCGGACGGTCTACAGTCATCCTACCCAAAATCGTAACCGTCGGATTGGGTCCCATCCAAGGAAAAACCATTATAAGTAGGTAGACGAAAAAGATCGAGAGAATAATGGGGCATGATGGACCGAATTTCAAAACCGACACCGGCGGTCCGGCGCAGCCCTCGGCGGTTCAGCCTCCACGCTGAGCCCACCTAAAATTTTCTTTGACCGAAATAACGTTAACTCGAGGACGGAAAGCGAAAGAATTTTGGGCCGACGCGGCGGTTTTTGGATCCACTACGGGAAGTTTCTTGGGGGCTTTACGGTGGGTGGATAAAGTGCGAGTGGTGGCCTACTGAATGGTTTATTTTTCCGGACGAAATTGTCCTTTTCAGAGAGAGGTCAGAGAACTAGAATCCAAAAAGGAGTTGGGAGGGCGATTTTGTAAATCTAAAGAACCAACAGTAGAATGACAGCTGATCGGAGAAAGGAGGCGTGAAGAAAACGTGAGGCGCTTTACAATCATCTGAGTGCTGCTGCTGCTCCACCTCACGTAAAATCTTAAAAAGTAGCAGGGTATTTTGGTACTTAAAATGATGACACCGTCGTCTGCTGACGGCCGGACTCGGGTAGATCCGGCCGGAAACGGCGGCCCATGATACAAAAATGGACGGAGTTACCTTGTTTGCACCGGATTTGGTAGCTGGAAATCCAGAAACCCGGTGCAATCGGGGAAGAAAAACAGAAGAGTCCGTCGTAAGAACGAAAATTAGAAGAATAAATAAGGGCTAAGTAGTCATTTCGTCAGTGGAATATACGATGAGAAAAAATTGTCAAGAATTAAAAGAAAAAAGATTTGTAGTCATCCAGAAGAGAAGAATGTCCCGCCGACGGGACACAAAAAAAAAACCCTCATGAGAAGTAAATTAACAGACTCCACAGGGGCATTCATGTCAAGCCACCGGGAAGTATGGCACCGGAGAGATCAGCGGTTGATTTGGGCTGAGGTAAAAAATTTTGAAGGGGAAGGAAGAGAGGAGGAATGAGAGCAAACCTTGGATCTGGAAGCTGGGGCAGGTAGAGAGCGGTGGACGTGGCGACTGGTCTCCTCAAAGCCGTCTGCTGTAGAGGGGGAGGCAGCGCCACCACCTCCACTCCAAGAGAGAGGTGTGGTTGGACTACCTCTAGTGCTAATGTTGGAATCACCATCTTTCTTGTTGGAACCATCGCATCGCATCGTCAGAGACCTGGACCTCGGTTGGCGTATCCCCCATTTAAGCGCCGCCACCGCAGATTTCGGAGCCGGTGGCGCCGCCTGCGCCTGCTTCAGCCTGACCAACAACTCCACCACCACCCTGTCGTCAGTCATCGCCGCCCTCACCCACTCGTCCTTCACCACCATCATCATCCCCAGAAAACCCAGAAAACCGAGAACCACCCAGGTGGCGTAGTAGCCTAATTAAAGTGAGAAAGGAGAGAAAATGAGAAGAGGGTTGGGAAGGAAGGATATATATATATAAAAAGTCGAAATGGAAAGAAAGTGACGGAAATGAGTGCGTGCATGTATATATACGAGATTGGATTTTGTTCTTCTGAAAATTAAATTAAAAATAATTTTAAAAATAAAAATAAAAATGTTGAAAGAAAAGAAAGAGGGGTTGTGTGGTGGAGTAGATTCCAGTTATTCGGTCTCGTTCTTGTTAGCATTGGTGACGTGTGTGGGTATGAGTCGTCTGACATGACCTTTTTTTTTTTGGTTTTTCTGAAAAAAAAAAAAATCCTTTAATTTTAGTTTGGTAAAATATATATAAATATAAATTTTGTTAATTTTTATTTAAAATTTTAAGTTTTTAAAATTTTTGAATTAGGTAATAAATTCTTAATTTTTATTAGAGAAAGGTATAAATAATAATACGAATTTTATTTTTTATTTGAAAAATGTGAATTTTATTAATTTTTGAATAAAGTAATAAATTTTTAATTTTTTTATTTAAAAATATCAATTTTGTGTTTTTTCTATTTAAAAATTAATTAAATAATTAAAAAAGTCAATTAAGACATTAGCATATCCATTTAATTAAATTTTAAAAAGAAAAAAATATAAAATTAATATTATTAAATAAAAAATAAAAAATTTATTATTTTATTTAAAAATTGATAAGGTTCACAACCTTAAATTAAAAAAAAAAATGAAATTTATATTATTACCTGCACTTATTTTCTTTTTCTATATAATATAAAGATACAAATCTTATTTTTTATTTAAAGATTTATTGAATGGTACTTTTTTTTCATAGAAATTACAAATTAAACTCTAATCTTAAAATTAAGAACACAGGTAACTTTATCACCAGACATTTATTAGATGGAGTTGATAACATGATAAATAATAATTGTAATCGAAATAAAGCAAAATTAGTATTTTTAAATAGAACAAATAATAAAATTTATATCTTTAAATAGAATAAAGTAAAATTTTATTGTCTGATTTAAAATTTCAAAAAAAATTTATCCTTAAATTATAAAAATAACAAAATTTATATCCTTATCTTACATCTTTTCTCTTAGTAGAGTTCATGGTTTAAGTTTTGAAATTAACACCTAATTCCTTTAAAGTACTAGGTGGATATAAGATTTACCTTTGAGATCGATTATTTTTGAGGTGCTTAAAAGGTAGGCAAAATCCTAGATTAAGTCCCTTAAACTTACTCTAAATTCTTGATTAAACTCTTAAATTTTTACTAAAATAAATAAATCTTTAAATTTGATGATTTAGGTAATTTAACCTCATTTACACATTATTTATCTAGTTAAAGTATTGATATGTTATTATTTATGTGATAAATATTAGCTTTGTTTATACAAGTAAAGGACAAACTAGTGTTAAGTGTGTAAGAAGAAAAAGGTTAAATTGTCCAAATTGACAAGTTTAAAGGTGTATTTACTATAATAAAAACCTAAGAACTTAATTAAAAATCTAGATTAAGTTCAGGAACCTAATGTGAAGTTTTACCTAAAAAGTAAACTCTAGCCATATCTGACCGTCTAAATAAAAGAATAATGATTTTGGGCTACCTAGAATGGGTCCAACATGAAATGTGGCACTGACTTTAGACAGGGTTGAACTGGTATGGGTTCTGGGGCTTCGTAAACTGGAACACCTAACGCCGAAGGCCGAAACTACTGCTTACTTCTCTCCCCAGTGGATATCCGTGCGAATGCATAAATGGCAACTGCCAAGATAAAATCGTACGGTTCCTACATTTTACGGTGCACCGGCATTTATCGAGTTTCCAATGTGGCATACATATACTGGATTGCGGGTATGAGGCTTCACTTGGGCCTCCAATTTATTGTGGACCGGTACTCAAATTT